TTGTCTGTGACACTGCCAAACTATTAGACAGTTGCCATGTGATCAATATGCCATCTGGACAGATTAATACTGAGCTGGTTATAATCTACTGCCAAAGGCTCCTTCAGGGACTTATTTTTGTTGGATTGATACTTTGGTAATTACCAAATAAAACTTTTTATAAAATGTGAATTTTTCAGGGGGAAAAAAAAAACAGGTAAATGTTGAAATGACAGGTCTTGCTTATGCTGCAGTATCTCCATTATTGCATGGAAATCTGGACATAAACACGTTGGGGGACAGGAGGATATTTTTCCTTCTATCTTCCTCATTATGTTCCCATTGCCATAGCCAGTCATATGGTTTTTTTTTTTTTTTTTACACTTTCTTTGAAGAATTAGATACAGCAATGCATAGGAAATTTTATTTTGCACAATAACATTTAATACCACGTGCCCTTTGACTTCATTAAAAGCAGACCTTTTGAACTGAGGGAGAGTTGCTGTCACCAACACTAGTAGATAATATCCAAGCTACTACATAGATTAACCACTTGTGGGCAACTCACATCGACACTCACAAAACTAGCATGTTACAGAAAATTCTTCAAGAAAATTTTCTATGGGTAGCAAATCTGAGCCATGTTTTTATAACTCAGAATCATACTAATCTATAAAGTCCTGACTGTTCCAAGACCTTATGATTTAAGCCAGTATGCCGTCTTAGAGTAGCATCTCCCCCAGTCCCGTTAGTGTTTCAATGCCAGAAACTAGGTTCGTAACAACTATGAATTTCTAGACCACACTAAATAACTATGTCATATGCATCAGAGGGGTAGCCATGTTAGTCTGTAACATTAAAAATGAGTGGCCCTGTGGCATCTTTGACTATGTCTACATTGTATCCCTCTTGTGCAAAAGTCTATGAAAATGAAGCTCAGATTAGCATATTACAGTGCTTCATCTGCATAATAAATTAGGGGCCATTTTTGTGCAAGAGGCTTTTGCGTAAAAAGGATTCGTCTACACAGCTCCTTTTTGCACAAAAACACCCTCTTGCGCAAGAGCCGTTCTTCCTCATTTTTTCAGGAAGAACAGCTCTTGCTCAAATAGGGGGTTTTGCGCAAAAAGGAGCTGTTTAGACGACTCCTTTTTGTGCAAAAGCTTCTTGCACAAAAACAGTCCCTAAGTATTTATGCAAATTAAGCATGACAATATGCTAATCCATGCTTCATTTGCATAGGCTTTTGCTCAAGGGGGATGCAGTGTAGATGTAGCCGTGAGACTAATTAAAATATATAGAATCAGATTAATAAAGTGGTTGATACAGCCTGACATTGTACAGTAGTAAAATGACATCATATGGAAACACTAACGATTTTAATATACAAAAGTTTCTATTACAATACTACTCTAGAGATGCTATTGGAGAAAAATGCTGCTGTCTTCTCAGGATGCCTTTTTATCCTTTGGAATTAGTTCTTCCTGCCTTTTACCTTTTTTTTTTTTTAAGAAGTCTGTCTGTCTGTCTGTCTCTCTCTCTCATATATATATATAT